TGATGTCAGCGGGGCCACTCTTAAAGGGGCAGGCCGCCCGCCGAGGGTCGAAGCGGGGGCTGGGGCCTGCGGGCATAGAATGGGGGGTACAGCGGCAATGATACGGGAGACAGAGGAAGCCTCAGCATCCAGTTGGACTGGGGCCCAGAAACCCAGGAACCTGCAGACCAGAAAGTATGCCAGGCCCTCAAGGGGGCCTGCGAAGCTCTGGGGCTCAATCCCCTCCAAATGCATAGACAGGCATACCACTCTGCCGGCCTGTCCCGTCCAGGGACTACATTCCCCATCAGCCCTGGCGGCCAGGGGCCGCACCTGAGGGAAGGGTCTGTCGCAGTGTCTGCTGGGAAGTGTAGTCCTTATGGATTGGCCCCTCTACTCCTCTCTTGCCCCCCAGTTACGAGTGGGTTGGGGGGGGGGACAGGCCAGAGGACACTTCTACCTTCCTTCTGACTTACTCGCCCACTGAGTTGCAGGGTTCTGGTTGTTTTGATTTCTCCATTGTGAGGTCTCTTCCTCTAATCAAGTCTTTAGGTCTCTGTTTAGGAGGCCAACCTTTCCTGTCTTTTCCCAGGACCTCCCAGGTTTGGATCTTGGTGTGTGGGTATGTGTGTGTGCGCAAGCATGTGTGTGCACGCACGCCCTTGCATGTTGCTCTGGATAGATATGTAGATGCCGTGTCTCCGTGCAAGGGATCTCTACTTTATACTTTGAATGGTCTAGGTATACATTTCTCATTGTGTTGAGTATCCACTTTGGTCCTCTCTAGAGCAGGCTCGCTCTCTTTCTGTGTATCCTATCTCTCGGGGATTTTTTCTCTTCCCTCTCTCATGCTGTGGGTATCTTCTCTTTTTGGCAGGGAGACTCTCTACTTTCCCTCTCTCTGTGTGCAACCCCCCTCCCTGCCTCTGTTTGTTTCTATGTACCGTCATTGTCCCACCTCCGCATTCCCTTCATTCTCCAAGCTTAAAAGAAAACATCCCAACACTTCAGCATCAGCATCCCAAATTTATTCTCCAGCAGCTGTGTCCGGGTGGGAGAGGCTAAGGGAAGAGGAGGGGGAGGTGGGGGAGGAGGGGAGAGAGTCCCAGAGAGTGGCAGGCACTGGGCAGGGGGTGAGAGGTTCCCAGTAAAACTGGAGCCATGCATGGGCAGGTGAGCAGTAGTGGGTTGGGGACAGGGGAGTCTAGAACAAAAGCTGAATCCTCCATAGATCCCAGGAATACCCGATGTGGTAGGGAGGTGGCCTGGAGAAGGGGAGCACAGCCTTCCTCTTAGTCTACAACTCAGGCCAAAGTGGGAGGGGCCTAGAGGATAGAGGTGGATCTAATCCGAGTCTGGACCAAGCAACCCCAAGAGACTACTGCCCCAGGGTGGGGTGAGAGAAAGAGGCATTGAACTACCAAGAGTTTAGAACCCCATGGAGTTGGGATGGTAGTGTGGTTCTGGAAGCCAGTGGAAGAGCATCCAGAACGCTGGGGGTGGGGGACAATATAGGGCTCAGCAGAATCTAGAACACAGGAAGGCTCTAGAGACTCCATGGAGTTTAGAATGTCAGGAATGCTTGAGAGGAGCATCTAGAACCCATGGGAGCAGAGGTCAGAATGCTGGGGGCAGGATCTAGAATGGGAAAGTGGGCAGAGAAGTGGGGGCTGCGACTGGCGAGCGGAGGGGGCATTGAGGACACCTAGCGGCAGCAGGTGAGATTACATGACGGGCACAGGCACCGGGCTGGTGGGGCTGCGGGCATCCGGGTGTACGAAGTCCGGGTTCACGTAGGTGAAGCCCTGGAAATCCGCCTGGTCGATGCTGGCCAGGACCAGGCGGTCCGGCGGGGTCAGTGCTGGCGCCGCCCGCGTGAAGAACTTATCGAAGTTCTCGCCACTGCGGCCACACTGAGGGAAAGTAGGAAGGGCAAGTCAAGCTCTGCCGGCTCCTGGAGGGCCTGTCCCGGAATGCCACTCCCGCCTCCTCCAGAGTCCGGACACTCCCTGCATCATCTCCGCACCCCCCTTCACGGTGTCTCGCAGAGGGGTCCACTCCCCGTAAAGGAAATGAAGCTCAGGAGTGCCCCTCCCCCACTCGGGAACCTAGGCTGGCGGTGAGGACGACTGACCGGGCGTGGCCTGAACGGAGGCGCAATCTCCAAGCGCTCCAGCCGCTCCCAGTCAATCCAGCGGAAAAAGCCGTGCGCCCGGATGGTGGGCTCCCCGTCCGGCCCGGAGCCTAGGCGCTTCCCTGGGTGCTTGGTCAGGAACTGTGGGAAGCAGAGAGAGACAGACAGACGGACAGATAGAGTCCAGGACAGGGAGACCACAGAGGAACAGACACAGGCACAGGATCCAGAGGGAGAAGAAGAGCAAGGGGAACGGAGATGGGGAGGAGGGGCAAGAAAGAAAGGGAGAGAGGAAGGGGAAGAGGGAAAACAAGTGGAATCCAGACCAGGAGACCAAAGGACAGTCCGAAAAACAGAAAAAAAAAAATCAAGGTGTGAGGGGCAGGGAACCCAAAAAGAGAGGAGTGGAGACATGGGGGGAATCCCAAAGGGGAAAGAGAACGGGGAGGGAGAGAAGTTTGGAGACCCAGAGAAAAGGAGGAATAGAGAGTCAGAGGGAGGGAGCATGGAGAGGCAGAGGGCAGAGACCCAGAGAAGGCAGAACAAGAGAGCTACAGTGTGCAGTTAAGAGTGGGGAAGAGGGCAGTGGAGACCCAGGGAGAGGGGGACAATGACAAAGTGTGGACAGAGATATAGGAGGAAACACCAAGAATCACCAGGGCCACACCCAGAAGGCCACCACATGCAGATGGAGGCAGAGGTATGAGACAGAGACCCAGTGCGAGTCAGAGGATGTGGAGACACCTGAGCAGGAGCGGCTGACACTTCTTGGAAACCCATGGTCAGAGAACCCTGTGGTTCTCCTGCATTAACTCCACGACCTTGGAGGAGAAGACTGAGGTCACGGTCTTGGTGACTCTTCTAAGAGTCCCCCTGAACACAAAAGCTGCAGGAGTTCAGTCTACCTGACTCACCAAGTTCTGGAGACACAAGCCCTGGCCTTTCAGTACTTCCTGCGGTGAGCCAGGGAGTGGGAGCCGAGGAGGGTAGGGTAAAGGAGGGCTGGGTGCAAGCAGAGCAGCACATGGTGATTCTAACAAAACCTGTGCATTCCACCAGTTTCCAAGAAGATGAGGGTAAAGACACTTGAGGAATGGGAACCTTTTTAAAGACAGACCACAAAGGGGCATGGATCATGAGTCTGAAGAAGCTGGGAGTGGGGATCCTCACCCCCTTGCAGATGGCCACAGCCTCCCGGGAAAGTGACTTGGGGTAGGTGACTGTTTGCTCCATGATGGCCTGAAACAGCTCCTCCTCGTCTTCCCCATCAAAGGGTGGCTGTGGAAGTCGAGGAAATAAAGTCAGAGACCCTCCAAACTACTTTTTCCAAACCTTAATGCCCTCATCACCCACCATGAACACGACCAACGGAACCAACCACTGAACCCAACCACTCACTGCCACCAAACTCTCAAAGTTTAATTTCTCCGCAGTTTTTTTGTTTTTTTGTTTTTTGTTTTTTTGGGTTTTTTTGGTCTCACATGCCTCAGTTCAATGCAGCTCACTGTCTGGCTTTATTTATCTGATATGTCAATCAACAGGGTGTTAAATATGTAATATGTCATTTAAATAGAAGGGAGGAATGCTGCAGGACAGACCGTAAATGCACTCTCCGGCTGAATGCACAACTCTGGGACAGGAAAGGCAACACCAAGGTGAGGGGTCTTAGTTGAGAGTCTAGGTGGTCTGTGTAGACAACTGGGGGGAGCATGTTTTTGGGTAGGGAAAAAATGCCACTTTATCTTTTTAAGCTGCTAGGTCAGCATTAACATTTCCTCCAACTGTGAATGTAA